TATTTATTTATTTATTTATTTATAGCAATCAGTTGATTTGCTTTTTTTCGGTCTTAACAGAAGTAAATTAGACACTTATTAGTCTTTTGGCATTCAGTGCTTGATTAGCGGATGAATTTTTTTCTTTCATTCAAATTCCTAAAGAAACTATTGTTTTTTCGCTGATCTATTAGTACAGTATTGCATTTCTTCTGCATTATTTTTTTTTATTCCTTTTGCTTTCCTTCCTTCTGTTTAGTAAAAATCGGTAAATAATGATGGGGAACACAAAAAAAGAAAAGTGGGAAGGGAATTAGAAGGGAAAAAGTGTTGCTTTTTTTAAAATAATTTTATTGTTTTATTTTTTGCGGTTAAACCAGTAAACATCAAAGTGGAAGTGAAAGTTTTTTAAACTTGTTGAGCTTACACGTGATACCAAAAAAAAAAAAAACAGCTTTTATGAGCACTTATCTATGTGATGAACATTCACTGAATTATTATTCTATCGTTATTATACGAGGAAAATGAAAAGCAGAGAAGGGGTTGGTTGCGAATTGATTAGAGTTTTAAAAGCGCTTAACCAACGGTTGACGGTAAATCAACGGAAAAGAAAGAATGTGAGAAAGCTGTGGCTGTTTCATTGTAAAAGACATTAGATAAAATAACAGCTTTGTTTGGCTTATTGAGCACAGGAGCAATTTGTAAGTGAAATCAAAGAGGAAGAAAACGGTTGAAAGGAATGAAGAAAGAGTGATCAATTGTTGCTACTTCTTATTTTTTTTTCTAATGTGAATTACTTTTTATTTGTATATATATTTTTTTCTAGTTTTATTTACATTTATTTTATTCGTTAAGATAGTTGCGTGGATAACCTGTGCTAATGTATTACATATATTGAGCGATAAAGAGAATGATTAATTTTACCTCTGTTATTTTTACTGAACTCCCAGTTTCTGTTCTCGTTTTCCAAGTTCTGTAATATTATTTTTGTTAGTGTTGCTGTTGCTGTTCGAATGGTGATGTTATTTGACACGTTTAAAGTACAAAAAAAGTGAAATGACATTTTTTTGACAAATTTTTGGTTTATTTAAACTAGCTTTTTGTTAGGAAAAAAAACGTGATTTTTCATCCCGCAGTTCTGATGCACAAACAGATAAAAAAAAAAGTGAAGAAGAGTTGCGATTTGTTTACTCATTAATACACGAGTTAAAACATTTCTATTCTCTGTTAACGTTTTGTAGGGGTCGTTCTTAGGATTTTATTTTTTTCTGCAATCCCAGAATGGATGTATTGGAAAAGCGAAAACAATTTGGTACGCGTTATTTGATTAATGAATCAGAGACCTTTGATTATAATGCCTGGGACAATGTGGAATGGAGCGAAGAACAACTGCAGGAAGCGATGTCAAAGATTGCTGAACAAAAGAAATTCATGGTTGATGTCGAAAAAGCTGGTACATTAGTTGACAATCCGCGTATACAGTGGGAAAATTTTTATGGCAAACATGGAGGAAAATTTTTTATGAATAGAAATTGGATTTTGACCGAATTTCCCGAGTTAAACACGCAGAATTCGGTAAATGTTGTTTTAATTCTTATTTTTTATTTTAGTGTGCGAAAACATTTGTATTTTGAACTTTGTTTTGTATTCTTAGTGGGTTGCAAAAATTGCACTAAATGAATGTTAAAATGGAAGGAAACTTTTTTTGTGTTGTAGGTCGAAAATGAAATGAGTTGTTTGAAGCATTAATTTATAGAAGGAAAGGAATCTTTTGTTTGTTTTTTTTTCTAGATTAAAAAAAATTGTGCCAACAGCTGTAGTTTTATATTTGATGTAGTTTAACATAGGTCACTGCCTAATAGTACAGCAATGATTTAACGGTTGAAAGAAAGCGAAAAAAGAAGAATACAGGGAAAGTTTCTATATTTTTTTTTCAAAAATTTGTTCATAAAATTGATAGATATATTGCAAACCAGTAAACTGGTCGAGATTTTAGTAGTCAATAAGAATAGTTTCAGCAATTTTAATTTTTGACTGTCCAATAATGTTCGTGGTATAGGTTAAAAAAAAAAGTGTTTTTTTTTTGCCGTTTTTTGAAACTAGGTTTTGTTTACGTAGCTTTTTTTTGTTGGATTTCTTACTGTAGTTTAGTTGTCGTTAATTAATAAGTACCATTTAAATTTTGTCATTTTCTTTAATTTATTTTCTGTGTCTTTTACTTTTTTCGTTTTCACGAGCGAGTTTTTGTTTATTGAAATATAGAGTATAAATCTAGATAGGAAAGCAATGGAACATGATTCTGTATAGCCCTTATTTTTTCCGGATTTGAAACACTAGAAATTGAGCTCTACTAAATGAAGGAGAAGGAAAAAAGATGCGTACCCAGAGTTGAGAATGTAAAGGAATCATTTAAATTACTGAATTAGAAAAATCTGCATCTCAAAAATCTCGAAATCTATTTTTTTCACTAAGGAGAAGCTGTAGCAAACTGTTGGTGGGCTTGAATAGAAAATCATTCTTTTTAATTTGCCAGTATTTTTTGACGTTTGCTGCTAACATGGATTTGAGATTTTCGATACGTGTTGTTTGTTGATGTCGTAAAACTTGGCTTAACCTTTTCAAATTTTATCAGTCTTTCAACTTGCTGATTTTATTGAGTGAGGTTTGTTTAAATCAATTGCCACT